CCACCTCCTGGTTTCCTCTCCGAGGCGATTCGGCGTCACCTGTGCCCGGGCTAAAGGACCATGGTGATGTGATTCTCCTCAGCTTCTTCGATGGCATTGGCTCTTCCAGCTTGGCTATTCAGTCGTTGGGTTTGCGCCTTCGTACCTCACTGGAGTGGGAGGTAGATGAGTCAGCGCTGACTGTGTCTTCCAGGGTCTGCAGAGGTCTGCGCATGAAGCGCGGAGACCTCACACAAGACGACCCAGCTGCCGTTTCCAAGATCCTGAGCGACCTCTTGCAGGAACAGGAATCCACTGTACTGGTGACGGCAGCCCCCCCATGTGTGGACTACTCGTCAGTGAATGGCTCGGCTCAGGGCCGCGAGGGGACCTCGGGCTCATTGTTCGTGTCCTTTGTTTACTTCCTCCAGGCCGTGGAGAAGGCTCTGGGCCGTCGCTTTCCGATATTGGTGGAGAACGTGTTGCTACAGAGCGGCACAGATTGCCAGTGGTTCAGCGAGCAGCTACAGGCCGAACCCATCGTTGCAGATGGCTCGGCCTTCGGCATGATCTCCAGGCCCCGGACTTGGTGGACAAGAGTCGATTGGTCCCAGACAACCAAGCATCCCTACCGACCCGAGCAGACGCTAGCTTGGGACAAGCATCAAGGCCTGCGGCGTTTACAGCTTTCCGTGCACAAGGACGAGCCGTCGTCCTTTGACATGCCCGGGTTGGTTTTCCACTCCTCGGTTTCTAACGGATCACGCAGTTTGCCCTGTCTGACGACACCTGCTCCGACTCAGGACGGGCGCCCACCGCCCAAGAAGATGAAAGGGAAGCTCAGTGCGGCAGCCAGACAGCGGTGGCTGTCTGGCAACAGGCAATATGCCCCATGGGTCTATGAAGACCACGCGTTGGTATACGAGAAGTCGGGCGATGGCCAACTTTTGCCAGTGGAGCTGAAAGAACAGCTCCATCACTTCCCGTCAGGAGTGACAAGGTGCCAGAGTGTGTCCCCGAAGGATAGACACCGCCTCTTAGGCAACTCGTGGCATCTAGGAGTCGCTCGCTTCATGGTGGCCTTGGTGTTGATCCATAACATGTCCAATTGCCAGGCAGCAGACGTTGGCAGTTTGTCAGGTTACATGGCAGCGGCCAAGGCACGTGACATTCCGGTGGCAGGACACATTTCAGGACAGGTGGGCGCCGCAGTGAAGCCGGCACAGGACATGTGGGAGCAGTGGAGCCACAGCTTAGACATGTCACACCCGCTGTTGGTCGAGCCTCGTGTGGAGCCCGCGATATCCAAGACCATCCGTGCCATTGTGAACATCGGCCCATCGGTCGTGCAGATGCGTGAGAACATTATTCACGGCATCCGCGCATTGAAAAGTGCCATGAGTGCTGAAACAGATTCCTGGTTTCGTCAGCTCCCTCCACATGTTGCTAGGGCGTACAAGCTCGAGGACAATCAAGTAGTCCAGATCCCACTGTTCATGCGGCTCCTCCGAGGTTGTGGCTATCCGGATTGCGACAACCTCGAGGCCGATCTCAACCGCGGTTTCCCGCTGCTAGGACCGTTGCGACAATCTCCAGGCTGGCACCTGAGGACAGATGATTGGTATGCTCACCCGATTTCAGAGGAAACCTTCGCTGCTTTGAACAGCGAGCATATCCGGACCCGTGCTGCAAGGACCAGAGCTGATCCTGAGTGGCAGTGCATGTTGGAGGAAGTCGTGGCCGAAAGGGCCACGGGCAGGGTGGAAGGCCCTTTTCGGGCCCACGCATCGTGGGGGTTCCAGTCTGTGTCCGAGGAAGTCCGAGAAACCAGCAGCCCACTGCAGGACATGGTGCCAGGCCCAGCTTATGCTGCTTTTGCATTTAGCGTGGTCCAAGAAGGTTCAGACGGCCGGAAGAAGGTGAGGCGTTGTGAAGACTACAGACGATCGCATCACAACTCGACGATTCATGCAGTCGATAAACCACCGCACGATTCGGTGGAAACTTACGTCCGAGTGCTTTTGTTCTGGGCGTTCCTCGGGATTCTTGCACAGGTGTGGTGTCAGGATCTCATGGCGGCATATCGTCAGTACCCTGTGCTCGAGGTGGCCCATGCTTACATGTTGTTACAGCTGCCTCACGGCATTTCAGTGTGGCGACACGCTGTACTCCCCTTCGGGGCTTCGGCCTCAGTCTGGCATTTTAATCGTTGCACAGATGCTGTTGTGTGGCTGGCTAGATGTCTTTTGCTGGTGGTTGCATTACATTACGTGGATGATATTGGGGGGCCTGAGCCGCCGTGGTCTTCACAGTCTGCTTGCGCGTCTTTCAGGGAGTTGTGCGAGTTGATTGGGATACGGGTTAAGCCTTCCAAGGAGCAGCCGCCGGCTTTTCTTCAGAAGGTGTTGGGTGTTTGGATTGCAGTTACAAGTGCAGGCATCGAGATTCGCCCAGACCCAGGCAGGGTGACCAGGGTTTGTGCGGCACTTCAGCGCTGCTTGGATGCCGACGAACTCACGCCTGAGGAAGCGGCCCGTCTTACGGGCAAACTCATGTTCTTACAGACGAGCCTGTTTGGCCAGGTGGGCCGTGCGGCCCTTCACCCGCTGTACTCCCGTGCCCACGGCGGGCCTTCTCAACACACAGCGCTGAACCAAGGCCTGCGGGGCGCGATTCAGTGCCTCCTGGCAGTTCTACAGAGGGCCGAGCCGAGGGTGATTCCCTTACGTCATCAGGCAACGTCCACCTCAGTGGTCTACGCAGATGCTTTCTTCCGCATGGGGGAGCAGACTTGGAAAGCAGGTCACGCCAACATCCGTCATTGGACACGCTCCCCAGTGTCCAAACTGGCCAATGGTTGGGGCTTCATCGTGCACTCAGAGGCTGGCACGACAGCTGGGTTCGGACAGGTGCCACCTGATGTGGTGGCACAGTACAGCTCGCGCAAGGCTTACATCTTTTTCCTGGAAGTCAATGCGCAGATCCTTGCGCTGCTGGCCAATCGAGCGACTCTCGGTCCCTTCTGGGTCGGCTTCATCGACAATACTGCTGGCAGAGCGGCCTTGAATAAGGGCTTCACATCCGATCCTTGCATCAATAATCTTTTGTGTTTCTTTTGGGCGTTGTGTGCGGAACTTAAGTGGTTCGCTCACTTCGAGTGGGTCGCAAGTCATCTCAACATTGCGGATCCTATATCTCGCGGCGACATGACCGTCGCCCACCAGTTGCAAGCGAGCCAGCTTCGGATGGTTCCCCAAGGATACTGGCAGCTTCTGCTACGCATCGCCGGGGACATGCAGTACGCGGCTGGTTCGGCTGTCAAGGATGCTCTGAGCCTGGTTTTCCACTTTGAAA